GAGCCGGGTGTTCAGCCCGGTGTGCGCTGGCAGCCTCGCTGGGGTGCTGTGGGGGTGGGAGAGGTCAAAGCAGGTCCCCACACCGTCCTTCCAAACGCTGCAGCAAAGTGGGGTCCCCCCTGCCTGTCCTGGACATCCCCCCAAACCCCAGACAGGAGCCTGGATAGCTCAGTTGGGAGAGCATCAGACTTTTAATCTGAGGGTCCAGGGTTCAAGCCCCTGTTCAGGCGGTGGCTTTATCCTTTAGGAGCCCGTGGGCAGGGGCGGCATCTCCTCCTGCTGGGACAGTCCCTCCTAGGGGGCATGAAGTGGGAGACTGTTTCCCCTGCTCCCACTCTCACTGAAGGGTGCTCAGGAGCCCAAACCGACATCTTGAGGCAGTTTCCTCAAAGTTTGGGCTCCTGTTGGCACCTGCTTTTTCTGCATGACAAGCAGGGACTGGAGCATCTCTCCTGGAAGGGAAGCCAAGCTCTGCTCAGTGGTGCCCAGCACCAGCACCAGAGGCCATGGACACACACTGGAACACAGGAGGCTCCATCTGAACATCAGGAGACACTTTTAACTATGAGGGTGACTATTTTCCCAGTAGAGCCCTACATTGTTTTAAGGGGAGATGGTTCATATGAGACCAGAGGCTGCACCAACCCACGGGGCCACCACACTGCCTCAGCTGAGCCCTGGACTGCACCGTAGGTGTACAGACACTTCAGGTTATTTTTGCAAAATACAAACTCCTTTAACAGAAAACCAAAGGAATTTTGGATGAAAAATATCCCCCTTAGGATTTTTGACATTTTTCAACCTGAATATACATCAGTAACTCAAGCACAGTACATTGTTCTTCAGGCAAGTTTAGTGGCCTTACACCCCACACTGACTTTCTGGGGGAAAAAAAATAAAAGAGGAATGGAGAAGTTATGTATTTCCTTGTGTTTCTGCTTCTCAGCTGGGTAAAAGCAGGGCAGGCACTGCTGCTGCTAAAGGAAAACTTCTCCAGATGTGTGTTTCTTCCTTACGTATAATCTTTAAAAGGGAAAATGCTTTTCAAGCTTTCCCTGAGTAAGGAAAACACGTTTTCACTAAATGAAGGTTGGAGGAGTGCGAAGTTGTGCAAGTAGTGCCCTACAAACAGTAAATCCTAACGGTAAATGCACAATGATTTTTTTTTTTCTCCCTCCATTTCTTGCTCTGGATAAGTTACAAAATAAAATAAATTCATTTTGTGCAATAAAAAAAATCCTCCCTCTCCCTTTCCCAAGCACAAGCCCTGCCGACACCGGAGCCCATCTGACTGAGTGCTGCTTTCAGGTACCCCCACAGTGGTGAATAAGCCGAGACCCACTGCTTGGGTGGGTGTCTTCTTCACCACCAGCCTGTGCCATACCTTTTGTGATTTCTCTTCTGAAAGCTGCCGTCCAGAGTGAGTTCTGCATGGCTGTCAGGAGAGGGCACCAAGTCCAAGCAAACAGGGCGACTCCGTGGTCTGGAGGCTCCAGGAGGGTAAAAGCAAAAGTTTAAGAGGCTTCCTCAGGCTGAAGCATCTCCCGGTGCACCCACAGATCTCCTCCTGCCTCTTGGCGCCCACGAGACCTCCGGTTCCCAGACCTGCAGTGTGCCAGGGGCATCCCTCAGCTCTGGGTGGGTTTTGCCTCTGCTGCGAAAGCACCTCTGGAGCTGCTGCAGCCAAAATCCCCTGGGGCAGGGAGTGCCGGCAGCTGGGCTTTCATCAGGTTAATTTTCCTTCTGCTGTGTCAGGTCATTCATACCCTGGAGGGCAGGAGGGGCGAGCTGAGCAAGCTGCTGCCTCCCACCTCCTGTCACTCTGCAGGGCAGCCACAGCATTTTCTGGTCCTCTGCCTGCAAAACTGTGAGGAAGGGGAACGTGGGAGGCTGGGTGAATTCTAAATTCTCACGTTTGCCCGGAAAATGGAGAAGCTGGAGTGCTTTCCCAGAAGTCCCGCTGAAGCCTCACTGGAGAGCCCCCGGCCAGTGACTACAGGTCGGGAAATCCTTGTTGGTGTGAGTCTGGTCACTCTCAGCAGAGAGACCACCCAAGCTCGTGGCGCCTTCCCAGGGCGTGGCTTCTTTCCAAACCCACCTCCTCGCAGCCGCCTCCCTCCCGGCTCTCGGCAAAAGTGTTGCTGTGACTCGGATTCGAACCGAGGTTGCTGCGGCCACAACGCAGAGTACTGACCACTATACGATCACAGCAGAAGGTGTCAGAAGGTGTCCTGCCACACGCCGGGACCGTGCGGAGGGGAGTGCCTGCTCCGACCCCTCCCCTGGCACGGACACCCAGCACAGCCCCGGGGAACAAATCCACGCTGTTTTATCAAGGAGGCCACAAATGGGCTTGGATGATGCTGTTCAGAGCTCCAGCAGCATGGAATGGGGCCCTGAATTGTGCAGAACACTGGCAATGCTGGAATGGCACCTGGAGAGCGAGGCTGCTGCGAAGGATGGCACTGTTGAGGGGGTATCATGCTGTAGGGTCATCACACTACAATGCAGCAAATTCAGGGTTATAATAGCTTCAGCTAAATCTAAGTTGTACAAAAGGTGAGAAATTAACTAATTTTTTAGCATCATATGTGATACAACAAATTTGGGGGAATTCAGTTAAAAATACAATAAACAGCATGAGGATCTCCACGGGGAGCTGAGTGATGCTGTGGGAAGGATCCAGACAGGGAGGTCCAGGTAACCTGGAATGTCCCCAGGACCCCACTACCACCTTGCTGCCTGATCATGATCCCTCTCCATGTTTTCCCACAATTTTATGCCTTGAAAATTGTGCTTTGATGACTCCAGAGCTGCTTTTGCTGTTGCTGGCCCCGCATGTAGGTTGGGCTCAGTGCTGGTGGAGAAGAAAGGACTCGGTGGGGGTGAGAGCTCCCTGCTCCACATGCTGGGCACCATCCCACTGCCACCTCCTCCCCAGCCCTCCATGCACCACAGGATATGCAGCAGGGGATCCCCGGTGCCCCCACGGACCCCAGGGCCCCAGTCTGCCCAGTGGCTCCCTCACCCATCTCCATGGTGAGTCCCAGAGACACTGTGGGCATCTCTGCTCATCATGGAGCCTCCAGTGCCACGTATGACCCATGGAAGCCACTCAGAAGACAGGTAGAAACAGGATTTAACAGGAAGACAGAATAGGGTTTCCATCCCTGAGAGGGCTCAGGACTGCACTTACAGACTTCCTGCTTGCTGGTCTTCATGCATGTTTTAAACTACCTTGATCTCTGGTGGAGGAACAACACAGCAGGGCATGAGCAAGCCAGGAGGATCCTGGTGGGTTTGGGTGACAGTTTCCTGACCTGTGTGGCAGAGGAGCTAAGGAGGAGCAGTGCTCTGCTCCAACTTTGTAGAAGTGCTCACTGGGAGGAGAAGCTGAGTCATCGGAATGTGGAGTCATTCCAAGGGAGAGCTGTGGGATGAGCCCAAAGACAAAGCCCTACCAGGATGGTAGCCAGGTCCCCAGTTAAAGGAGAACAAATATTCAGGCCAACCCAGCTCAGTGACATGCAGAATAACTCTGAGAAGTTCTCTCAAAGCATTACTGAGGACTCTCACAGTGATAGTTATTAGAAGACCAAGAGGGAGAAGGCTCACACAGTTCTACTTATTGTTTACAGACACTAATTTATTAAGGCACAGGCACAACATTGTGTGGCAGCAAAGGTCCCCACAGTGAGAATCCTGAACCAGCATCTCACCATGGCAAGATCTTCCCTTCCCAGTCCAGGAAGGTGCCAGTCTCCTTCTCAGAGAGGGAGGAAAGCACCTTCAACATCCCTTGCACGCTGGCATCAACTGTCAGGGGGGGCTGTGGGGAAGAGGGAGAAACATTTGTGTGCCCCAGGTCAGGACAGGGTCTGCCCTGGAGCAGATCAATGCTCAGGGATTGGGGTTCTCTGGCATGAGAGAGGAGAGGCCAGCACCCAGCAAGAAGAGGTCCCAGTCCCTCATCTCCTCCTCTCATGTGCCTCCAGGGTATCTGCCCAGGAGTTCCCACAGAGCTCAGCATGCCTGGGACTGTTCAGTCCCCAGGAAGCTCTGCATTCCTAAATGAAGAGGTTCTTCGAGACCATGGCCAGAAATATCTCTTACCTTAAATGATTCTGAGCTCCCCCCCATTTCAGTTTGCACCCAGCCAGGGTGGAGAGTGACACAGAGGATGCCATGCTCCTTGTATGCCAGGGACTGGCACTTGGTCAGCATGTTCAGAGCAGCCTGTGAGGAGACAGGGCAGGGATGGTGGTGGGAGGGGAAGGGGGGTGCAAGGGAATGTGTGCAGATCTCACAGCTGGGGCAGGGATAGGGCAGTTGGAGCCAGCTCCTGGGGTACATGATGCTGCCTAGTCGAGGTCCTGTCCCATCATGTCCCTCTGGGGCAGGACCCGAGGCCAGGCACATGACTGGGCTGTCAGAGTACCCAGGGACTGATAGGAGCTTAGTAACAGAGCAGAGGACATGGACTGAGGAGGAAGTTGGAAGGCATGCACCATCATTTGGAGAGGAAAAGGTCTAGGTTCCCGCCAGCACACTCTGGCAGTACCTTGCTGCAGCGGTATGAGACAACTTGTCCAAATTCCCATATAAAGACATCCTCAATAGAGCCTGCAGAGCTGGACATGTTGACAATGGCTGCCTTGCTGCAGCTCAGCCCTGAGCCCGGGCTCCCCTGGGCAGCCTTCTTCAGCAAGGGCAGGAACGCCTGCGAGGAGGAAGAGGAGACAGGGGAGACATGGATGTGGCCCAGGGGAGAGGACCCGCTCCTTCCACAGTGGGCAGCACTGGCACCAGCATCAGAACATTGTCCCTTCTCTCCCCACTGCCCCAGCCTGCCAGGCTCCAGCTCCTGAGCTCCAGCCCATGGCTCCACAAGCTTCTCATCAGTGAACAACCCACTGGGCACCAGAGGGGAGGCAGGACACCCTCTCAACAGCCCTTCACACCCTCTGGGATGTCCAGCTTGGAGAGCCAGGGGCACAGGAAGGGATGCTCCCTGGAGCTATGCTGCACTGCTGGGACTCACCTGTCCCAACAACAGGGGTCCAGCCGTGTTGGTGGTGTAAATCTGGGTCATAGTCTCCAGTGTCTCCTTATCAAGTGAAATTGGCTTTGCAATTCCAGCATTGTTGATGAGGATGTTCAGCCCTGAGCCCCCCAGGAGCTCCTCCACTCTGGCTGCAGCTGCCTTGATGCTGGTGGGGTCGGAGACTTCTGCAGAGCCAAGGAAGGGGAGGTTACTGCCCATGTCCTTATGCTGGCTTGGAGCCCACTCTGCTCCCCAGAGAT